ATTACTTAACTAGATCGATTGCAGTTTACATGTGGCCTAAGCTGCTTATCAACCATTTATACCATAACAAAATTTCTTGCTTTATTAATTAATCATCCATGTAAATCGAGTTAATAATAACTTAAGTAATATGAAGTGATATGAATCATGTTAGAAACGCAAGATAGGATGAGTAGCTTGCTTTACTAAAAAGTATGTTTAGCTTTATAAGATCTGAATTAAAAGCTTTAGAGGGTCGAGTAAAATTAGACCTAATAAGATGCCAGGCGCCCACAATAAACCATATTGATTAAGGATGATGATGACTGTGATTTCCTGGTGCAGCCAAGTACTTGAAAATCAAGACACCAGTGCCGTACAGGTGGAGGAAACTGTTTATTAGTCGCTTGAAGTATGGGATGAACTTTGCCTATGGAGGGACAGGTGTGTTCAACACTTTGATTGCAGAGCCAAACATGACAATCCAGATCGATTACTTGCAGCAGCTCCTGAATGAGTCTGTGTACAATAAGAGGAAGCTCAGATCTTCTATGGCCCTCGTCAGCCTCGCAGGCAATGACTACTCTACTTACACTCAGAAAAATGGCTCTCCTGAGGTAAAGACACATTAAACATGTGTCTGTCTGTCGTTTTCTCTATGGGGTCTGTTGCATTTCAATGAGCACCAAGTTCCCCTCATGCACTAATTAATTTTGTCGGTGTACTGTGTGTCATTTTCTTTGGTATTCATCGCATATCTTTGTCATATTGGAATCAAACAGAATTTCAAAGGACTTGTGGTCCATTCTGCAGCAGAAATTTGTTTCATTCTTATCATTAACATCTCCGTCTTGTTCTTTGGTTAGGATTTCTTTCAAGTGCTCTTAGCATTAGTCGGGTCAAAGGTCTGGATATATTCATAATCCCTGTTATACAAAAAGTATGTATAATCTTACAATTATTTGTGTTGATAGGGCTGGCCATCCTTCATTAAATCTGTGGTGGATCAACTTGCAGTCAACATGAAACGCATCCACAACATGGGAGTGAGGAAAGTAGCCGTGAATACCCTGCAACCCTTGGGCTGTCTCCCTCGGAGCACCATCCAGAGCTCGTTCCGACAGTGCAACACAACTGAAAACAACCTCGTCGACCTCCATAACGTCTACTTACAACAAGCCATCGAGAAATTGAACACCGAGGCCAACAGTACTGATAATCGTTTTATCACTCTCGATCTTCACTCTGCATTTTGGACTGTGTTCAATAATGAAACTGTTCATCAAGGTAATTGTTTAGTTGAAACTATTCATTACGTCTTAGATATATTGGAAATTAACAAAGACACATTCCTCTGCTGCAGGTGAGTCGACGTTTGAGAATCCATATGAGCCGTGTTGCATCGGTATAAGCACCCAATATTCATGTGGAAGTGTGGATGGGAATGGGGTCAAGAAGTACACGTTGTGCGCGGATCGTAAGTCGCGATTCTTTTGGGATGCAGTTCATCCTACTCAGGAGGGGTGGCATGCCATATTTTCAACTCCTGCTATGCAGAAAAGTCTAGAGCAATTCTAGAGGAAATTGTTCCATATATATGTACCTATGTTGTTTCATCTGTCTATTACAATTCGTTTGTCTAGCACTTTTCTTTCAAATGTGAGTCGGTTAGTGTAATTATGCATAAACAAACTCAATTAGTGCATCATTAATAAATGTTCGTATGTGTAGTTTAAACACCATTTAGAACAGTCTGTTAGACAGCGGTAAATAACAAGATGAATATAAAGGTTGTAGCAGGGTCCAACTCCAAGGCATGAACAGTGTCAAAAAAGCATGTGAACCGCAGGGTACTAGGAAAACAAACAACCACAAGAGTAAAGGGCATATTCTTAATTCAAATCATGGAAAGAACAAAATGCATAATGAGAAGAACAAGAAACCTAGAGAATGACAACCTGACATTCCCTGGAGGCCCTTGGCAACGACAATAAATCGTTCTTGGAATGTTGTTCCCCTCCAGTAATATGAATTGTCAACTTCTCCAATACCAGGGCATTGTTCAGAAAATACTGAACGAGTTTCATATGAGCTTCCTCGCCTCCAAATGACAAAATTTTAATATCCTTGACGTGATTCCAGAAACTAGCCAACAAATGCGCAGCTAACGCCCAGGTACGAGGATCCCATTCATCTGAGATTTTCTGAGCACAAAACATATGCAGGATTAGAAGACACAAGAGCACTTCAAATTGCCTAGATAGAAAGGTACGTATATGCCATTCTTATACCTGAAAAATCAGTGTTTCAAGCTGACAACAATGCATAAGAAAATGACACAGGCCAATTGTGTTAAATTCCCAACCAACAATTTTCAACTCCATTAATTTCCCAAATGGAGGTAAAGGAACTCTATGGCATGCAAGAATCTGTCACAGGAAGAACGAGTTGCAGGGTTATCTGAATACTAGTAATTTCAGAAATTCACACAAAAAGGATCAAAAGCAATATCAAGAAACTATAATAAACACTTACCAATAGACTGTCACTGGATATTTGAAGGGATTGAATATTCTTTAACCCATTGAACAAATTAGTAGCAACTGCTAAATAAATAACAGCTTCAGCCAGTAACTGCACATCTACAAATTGATGTGAGTGAAAAACAGAGGAAGAATATTCAAGGTAAACGAGTCTTGGGGCATTAATCACCAACTCAACCTTCTGTTCTAGCAGAAAGTCAGTCACAGTAGATGTAATGGTCAGTCTTTTGAGTGAAGGATTAGATACAGAGAACTTGTGACATCCAACCCTCAAATAACACGATTGCAAAGCCAAATCCTCGAGGGTAGGACAGCTAGAAAACAGCCTTTCACTAGACTCATCATCCGAAAACACAAATCCCTTGAGATGAAAAACCTTAAGATTTGGAAGACAAGCCTCGGTAGGAACTTTAAAATCGCAAGATTGCAAGGGCAAATCCAACTTCAGATCATGAGTGACTTGCATGAAAATAAACTCATTGGCAGCGGCAGACCATAAAACTGTTTAGCTTCAATGGATAAATCAAGTTCTTGAACCGTATGAGACATTAGGGCATGTATCCAACGATCAATGCACAAAGGATCAAGAACTTGATAGCACTTGAGACGGAATCTTTTTATACACGGTTTCTTAGAGAGGAACAATACTCCGTCTACAACACTTATGAACCTCATAACCTTGCGTAGTTCATTCTCATTGAACTCAAAGTTCAGATTAGAAATCAAAGTGAAAAGATAACTCCACCTTCTTGATAGAATGGATGTTCGAACGGCA